GCGTGTGTGTGTTTTGTGTGTGAGATAGATAAGACTTATTTCCAATATACACACACACACACACACAGAGATGTACATAGATACTTGTATGCGACGCGAAAACGAAAATCTAATAGACTTAACTTCCATAAAGACGCTATACACTCTCTGGACCTCGGGATCACTTTGAAAACTCTCTCGCGACGATGCAGCGTATAGTGCGAAATTTTCCCCATAATAATTTGCCGGGAGCGTCCGTTACGAGCGATCGTAAAATTAAGAGGAGGAGGACGTTAACGTTTACTCCTCGCAACCCACCCTTACACAGAAATTTCGGCAGGATGCAGCCAACGCTTTATTTATGGACTCGCTTTATGGCAAGTACTTGCCGTTCATGGATCATGTTTATACTCGCTTGATAAAGTACGCGATAAGAGAACGGAAATAAAAATCATTCATCATTTTATTGTTAATATTTTAAACTTTAAAATATTCTAGAAAAAAAGTAATATAATTTATAAATATATATATAATAAATGTGTAAAGATCTGATTAATTATTATAGTATATGCTCATTCAAACAAAACAAGTCTCATTCATCTTGATAATATTAAGTAATGTACTTCAAAACAATATATACTTCGTAATCGTGTAAAATCGTATCAAATATAGCTCTGTCCGACACAAGCTAAATGAAACGAAGCACGGATGTACACGAGTGAGTTACCGTGAAGCGACCATAGGGATGGGAGGTCCATGCCCTGTCTGTGTCTCTCTGAATCGATTTTAGGCGCGTGGACCACCATAGGCGTACGCTTAGCGTCGAGAGAAGAGACAAGCGGAGAGAGAAACAGTCGTTTCTCGTTAAACAGCTCTCATAAAGGCAATTGCTTCCTTTCCCTTATTTTGTTCATTGAAAATACTGCCATAAAAGTTTAAGTATTTAACATTATTGTGACAATGTGAGTACGTGAGTTTTTGTGTATTTATTTTTCGAGAAAATTGCAATAAGTTATTAAATTTACATATTATTTCTACTAAGAAATTCGCAGTTTCACTTAAATTGACCTTTCTCTCTTTTTAAGTCCAAACAACATTAAAATACAGATAGATTTCGATAAAAACACATGTTTGTATGGACAAACTTCGAGGAACGCTCCATTTTTCATGTTTCAAAGATTACTGTAACACATCGACAGAGTTAAAATTATCTTTGAGGAAATGCGCAGAAACGCAAAAATATTAAAAACAGCGTAGAATCCAACGTCAATTTGTTATTACATTAATTACAGTTTAATAGTCACGAGGAATTTTCCGAAAATACAAGCACAGTATACTACCACAACTACTGCAAAGATTTTTACTTCAGCAAGTTTATGTATGACCCGCGCGATAACCTGCACAATACGCGCACAAGCCTTATAATTTATCATTGTGTATTGCATATTGTAGGAGGCGATTTTAGTTAGTTACGGATGAAATAGGAGAAAACGGATCGAAATAAGTGGCGTTAGAGCGCTTGTTGTTAAGTTGATGCGTGCGTGGTAGGTGTTAGGAGAGAAATGGGAAAGACGCGTGCGTAGCAAAGTGTATCTCTTCTAATATATCTTTACTTGTTCGTTAATCACGGTCTCGAGTAATTTATCCCTCACACAAGCAATCCTACGATATAAATACCGTATATCAACATATCGACACAGTTCATTGCCACGAATGAGCGAATTGACATCGCTAATCAAAGCCGACTATCGAAAAACAAGAGTAGAGAACAATTCCGAGATTATGGAGCGAACAATATTCGTGGAGTATTCGTTAGGTATTTCTACAGTGTAAAATATAACTATATATGTAACTGCAAGTAAATGAAGGATACCAAAATTATCCTCAGTATCATTATCCAAAATTAGCCGTCAGTATTACGGTGAATTTGTGGCGCTGGCACAGCCATTTATGACGATTTCGTGTGTGGCCCCGACTAATTCGCCAGTATCACGCCCGAGTTGGTGACTGACAAGCTAGTCGGGGCCATAATAAGGCCCAGAGTGAATTTCTACCAGGGAAGATATGTCAAGAAGACGCGGATATTCCCACGTGCAAAAAGATAAAAATCAAATATATAACAAAAAAATTGATCCAGGAAATTTAAACAACTCATTTACTCATTGCAATTATCATTATATCTCATTATAAATTATAAATTGTAAATTAACATTAATTTATGATTAATTACTATACAATTTTATCCATGATTTCGTGATTTTATCTGAGATTTATTAACTAAAAATCAACGGCTAGAATTTTTCAGAAATATGACTTTTTAAGTTCAATTTCTAATGTTATTACAATTTCTTATTTTATTATTAAAATATGCTAATATGATATATATATATTTTTTTTATATATATATTTAATTGTAGATTTGTAGAAGAAAAATAATACATAGAATAATTTGTAGAAGAAAATAAATCAATAATACGAACGAATAATAGTCAAAGTTTTTATCTTTTTTTTTAAATAAAGGATTTTAAAGTAGAAAATATTTTTCCCTCCAAGATTCATTATTCAAAAATGTATCTACAAATAAAACAAGTTCAAGACAAACGCGAAAAATTAGAAATAAAAAAAATTAAAAGCAAAGACCAAATATTGAGAGATAAAGAATGTTAAATATATAGGAAATATAAAGAATATGCAATAAAAATATATTACATATAAGCAAAATATTTTAACTAACAATCGAATACTGTATAATCTGTGCGTCAAAAAATATCTTGTCGTTCGCTTATCTGTTCTCCATGAATCAACGAGAAACACACTTGTATGCATATCGTAGTTATCACGTTAGTGTATGTATTATACGTTCCCTCTGATAACACTTTCGTCAGTGTTATGCGTTTACGAATTATTATCTCTTATTTCCATGTTTTCGGTGATCTTACGAGAAAAAAAAGCACGGGACAGACTTTGTTTCTTACTGCAAACGTAATGGACTGCATAATAAATATTGCCATACTTACAATTAGGTATAAGATATAGAGATTTCAAACTAAATTTATATATATCATTTATATACAGAATGTCCCAGACGTATCACGTCACTCGCGGTAAGAACGGTTTAGTTAATAAAAAGCAGCTAAAACTGCTAGGTGCGTAAACCGATAAAATTAAGAATAAAAGCACAAATGACGAATGGCGTTATATATATATATATATACGGCAGCTTGAAGTACTCTGTTGAAAGATCACTTGAAAACTATTTCCTAAAATAACTCATTCTTACGATTCTTGACATAATATTAAAAAAAGATTTTTCATATATTTTGTATATATACAATACTTTTATATATACTACACACACCGTATCACAATTGTATCATATTCGTTAATAGCAGATTCCTCAGATCATTAAGAGATCAAAATGTCAAAAACTCAGGCATGTTGCATATTGATTTTTATATCCTTACCATATGAGAAACCTTAGAAATCCGCTATTAACGGATAATATGTGATACGGTTGTAAATGTATAGTATAATAAAAAACAAATTAATAAATCATTCTTTTTTAATATTATATCAAGAATTGTAAAAATAAATTATTTTAGGAAATAAGCTTCAAAGAGATCTTTCAACAAGGTGTTTCAAGCCGTCGTATATATAACGCCATTTGCTTTCATTACTGCAGTTTATCGGTTTACGATACCTAGCTATTACACACCCAGCAGTTTTAGCTGCTTTATTAACGAAACCGCTCTTGCACGCGTGAATTGATACAAATGTTTGTGCCCAATTAAGTTCTTGAAATTGCCGACAGAAACAAATTTTTAAAAATTGCTGGGCTTTCAAGGATTATGCCGCAATACATGCACAACGCAGACTTGCATTATTGCAATCATTTCATTAGATAGTTATAATTTTATTTTAGAATCATACAGTAACATCTTTGTGACGTCGTCACGTTGTCTTATCTCTGGTTACGCGTTTGATAACAACGAAATATTTGTATAGTCTAGTGTAGTGTCAACGACTCAGGTAGGTCGGAGATAATTTTATCTTATCCAGATGAGTCTACCGGTATTGATTTTTCGTTCGGCAATCGATTTTAAATATTCAGTAATTATGTAATAAATAATATAATAAAAATTATACAGAGTAAATTATTAAAGGTAAACGAAAAATTAAAAATTTTTTAATAATTAATTTTTATTTTTATTGAAAATTCAATACTTAAATTCAACGATCATGGTTAGATAACAATTATAAAATCAATCACGCTATTTTATAATAACAATTATACTACCTTTCCAATTAGATAATTAAATTTTCATCTATATTTCGAGAGATAATCTTCTATTCTTCTAATTGAATTATTAGTTTTTTATTCTTTATTTCTATAAAATTTTAGTTAATGATGATTGATTGGCATAGAAAAACCAACTTTCAATATTGTTAAAGAATTCAATCTAACTGGTGATTTGTGTGCACACTTTGCACAGTGGTTAACCCTGTACTTATACGGTGAAGTCGCAAAATGTCATGAATATATGAAAAGCTATATCTCATTTTCATCCTTTTCTTTCGTCACGTGATGCCTACGTTTTCTCGCGGACAAATGTTCAATCACCTAAACATGCCAAATGCGTGCGACTCGCGCGTAGGTTTAATGTTTTTACGGCACCTACGCGAGCAGAAACGAGTTCTTTGTGAATGCCGGACCGTTCACTTTTGCAATATTAACTCCCGTCTACCGATACTGTTAATTGAGGCTTACTCGCGTCGATGATACGCGCGACTATAATTCAAACTTCCAAGAAAATAGCCATAATGCGTAATAGATATAATAAGCTCATTGTTGATTAAACACGAGTCAAGTAAACGTGCTCTATTATAGAGCATCGATCGATCACCACCAGGAAGCATAGTTAATTATCTGCGACACCTGCACTAACAAGTACCTGCTATTGCAAGGTATTAACCATTCTTTTCATAAATTGCTTATAACTCGACAATTATTAATTGTCTAAACAATGTTATTACTTTGTGTGTGTGTGTGTGTGTGTGTGTGTGTGTGTATTGTGTAAATTAAGAATTGTCATTTTTAATTAAAATTTTTAAATCAAATTTTATTGTACTTTCTTATATATAATATTTTAATTTGAGCTCTTAAAAGAATTTATACGCTTAATTCTATTTAGTTTTAGTATTTTTTATCATGTTACAAATATTTTTAATTCTACTTCAAATTTTAATCAATTTACTATTAATCTTAATAGTCTTAAAAATGTAACTTTTTAAAAACAAATATATATTACTGTATATTTATTTTTTATACACATAAATAATTAATTCTATTATGTATTTCCATGTGTATGTAAACTGATAACTCGATTACTACAGCTGCAATTGAATACGAATACGCATAAGAAAATAGGCAGAAAATAGTTCGTGGAAGCTGTGTGCCGCGGCAGCTGATTCACTTCTTGGAAACTTCCGTATCTCGGAAGAGAATGTCACAAAAACACAACCAGTTCTCCTACGGAGACCGCAGAGGCGTTTTGATTGCTTATTATTTCGAAAATTTCACTCAATCCAAGTTACTCGTTTTAATTCGCGCGATAAAAAAGTTAAATTTTACTGAATATTTTTACTGCTATTATTAAACACTTCGATCTAAAACTGATTTCCCTTCATTTATCTCGATGTAAATTTAAGATGATGTGACTCAAATTTCATATGAAATATTTCAATTTAGTAAAACAAATTCTCTTTCGAATCGTTCTAGTTAAAACTTCTTTATGACATTATATCAACTTTAACCGCAATATTATAATTGCAAATATTCGAATTTAATACAGTTTTTCAGGTTCCAATATTTGTCATTTGGCATTCGCTGCTCGATTCTGGCTGCAGACATGCTTACGAAAAATGATATCGTACTCACCTACGCGGCGCGCAATCACACTTCTTTCCCGCGAAGACGAGGGACCCGGAAGAAAAATTCTCGGCGCCCATGTGTCTGCAGTTGTCGATCCTTCTCCGAAACTCTGAGATACGTCGAACACACAAGAAGCAACACACGCACACCGCACTATCAGCAGACGCGACTGCTTATCGACACCAAACGTACGCGAAAAACACAACGGTACGCAACACCTGTTGCACGATCAACACGAACTCCACGGATCGAAGAGACTCGCCTCCGCCATTAATGATGCCAGAATGCAGACGCCTCTTGCGCAAGAGACGTCTGCATTCTAGTTACATTATCCGCCATAATGAATAACCCGCGAAAATCGCAATATCATAGTTGTGGCGACATCTTGCGTCAACTTTATCAAGTGACTAGTACGTAGTCACATTCGTTTATCGATATTACAGTTTGAGATGTATATCCGTGCTAATCTATAAATTGTGAGTTAAAAATTAAACCCGAAAGAAAAATTATTAACAGCGCCCATGTGTCTGGAGTTGCAAATTCTTTTCCGAAATTCCGAGATACGTCCAACACATAAGAAGCAACACACCACACTATCAACAGACGCAGCTGTTTATCGATACCAAACGTACGCGAAAAACGCAACGGTACGCAATACTTGTTGCACGATCAACACGAATTCCACGGACTGGAGCAGTGATGCCAGAAATGAGACGTGAGCAATATAAAGCTGCAGTGGAAGGAATGACGTATAATGTTATTCATAAGGAATGACACATCGAGAGAGAACCTCGTACGTGCTTCACGAAGCGCGCATATACATACGAATCTCGGTGAATGCGTCATCATTTCTTACATTACTGATTGAACAGGCTCACCTTCTCCATCAGTGATGTTTGGTGATTGCTCGGGATGCAAACACCTTCTCACACAAGATTCTAGCTACACTGTCCGCCATAGCGAATAGCCCGCGAAAATGTCGTAAAAATGCCGCGAAAATTGCAATATCATGGTTGTCGCGACATCTTGCGTCAATTTTATTAAATGACTACTACGTAGTCACATCTCCGTTTATCTATATCATGATTGGTGGTATATATCCATGCTAATTCCGTCCAATTTCGTTTAAATTAATCGCTTATACTTATACCAATGTGATGGATAAAGAGAGAGTATCGAAAACTTCATTTTTGGATATTTGTAGTTATCATCGTTTTCCAATACTATTTTATAAACGGCATGTTTCATAAAAGAATAATGTAACGTGTCTAATTTTAGCAGCTTTATTTCTTTCTATTGTATTCAAGCTGCTGTCATTGAACAGTCTAGCGTAGCCGCTACTGCATATTGTTAATATTCTATATCTGGTTCATCATGGCTGTTTATAATCACACTTTTAACGACACAAATAACTTAAACCATTTGTGAGCTCAATGTACTCGAACCTTATTTGCATATCCAGTCACAGAAATAGCATCATTAACCCCGCGGATTACTTTCTCCATTTAATAGAGCACGTGAATATTCTTCCGGATGAAATTTTACATTCCGGTTTCACTTACATTATAAATTATAAAACTTATTGTTTTTGCGATTTTGCGTCAATTGAAGAATATATTGAAGAAACCGTCAAGTACAAGTGGAAATATTTATTATAAACCAAAGCTTATACATATACATGTACGTCATTAAATAACAATATATTTGCACCTGAGAGCTACAGTACGCTTCGAAAGCTCCACTAATGTTATGCAACATCGCATATATGATGAAACGGTAACCTACATATCCATTCGTGTGTGAGCTGATAATATATTATACTTTTTGAACATTATTGGACTATCTCGTCGCACCATTCACGCCGAATACAAAAGCATCATTATTTTAGAAAAATTCTTCATATGATATAGATGATAGTGATATTAACTTTAGACTGCGTTCTCTCGCGACAGAACGATTGTTCGCATTTCTTCCTTTCTCTTTCTCTCTCTCGTTTTACTTCTAGAGAAAAAGAAAGGATTATCCGCTACTGTTTTATATTTAAAAAAAATGAAGAGAAATATTGTGCAGAAATCTGGTAATACTGGTTGAGCAAAATTGATTCTATTTTTTAATTAAATCGATTATTTTGTATGATAATCTTAATGCAGATACGAAATTACATAAATCACAAATGTTTATTTAATAATTATAATGAAATATAACAAATCACATTTTTGCTCTCCAAATCCAACGCGGATTTTTTATTCTGTTTGCATTTCAGTAAGTTAGATACATGACTCGCTTATCACAATGAGACTTTATTTTATTCGATTTATTTTATCAATTTCTTTCGCAAACAATTACACTCTAAACGTGTTACAAAAAGAAATTATTGCTTTATATCAGTTCATAAATCAAATTTCATGTATGTGAAATTGTGTATATATGTATGTACAAATGCATTTCTCGACATTGTTTAATCATAAAATTATATAAATCTAAAAAAATAAATAAAACAAAAATTCCTATTAAATTATTTTCTAAGCTGAATTTGTTTTAGGATCGATGTTTTGACATTTTAATTGAAAATTCATAGTTCCGTTAAAAAGTAATTGCGAGTCTTACTAGCAAGAAACATTCGATCTTCAGCAAGTATCATAAATATATCGTGGAACATACGTGACTTAAATTTTTTTAAATTTTATTAAAAATAAACATTTAGAAACTGATTTTCATCTATTATTATTAAGAGTTGAAAAATACTTTTTTTAAATAGGTCTAGAAAATTCCACCAAGTCTGTAAGATTTCCTGATACTTGCTGACAATTAATATCCACAAAATGCGGTAAAATCAAAAAAGAGTCTAGGCCTTTAAAGTTCTCAGACACGTTGTGGAATATTGAAAAATATCAAGAAGATAGAAAGAGAGTGATGATCCAGAATATCGAAAGTGATAAGGTAGAAAATAACAATTTCTAAAAAATTCAATATTTCGAAGTATAAATTTGACATTTTTCTATTCTTCACGCGTTGAATTGCGAGGCTCGCAAATCGAACGTATCAATTTAATATTAAAACGCAATTTCAACCAAATTTCGTAGTTCCACGACCGAACATAATTTTAATTATTATAGCATAGCGTATATAATCCTTAATCACATAGCAGATATTCAAACTTAAATTTTCTGAGAATATATAACTTTTGAGAATAAATTTTCATTGTAAAATATAATTTAGAAAACTATAGACAGAAAAAAACTCAAGCAATAAATAAGCAAACGATTTGATCAATCTCGATCAGGCATTCTCAAATATAATAAATTAGATTAAGAAGAATATTCAACTGCGATTGATTAATAATTACTGTGCTTAAGTTTTTCGTATATTATGTCCTCCGAGTTTCACGAAGACGATACTTGTAGTAGAATGATAAATAATGTAACAACATGCTTTTTTCATTTAAAATTCTAAATAGATTTCAAGAAAAAATAATCATTGCGTCAATTACTGTTCCCAATTACGAATCGATCGAGATTCAAAAATAATGAGACGCGTGATAATATCCATTCAGTAGATACGATAAATAATAAAACACCATTTCTTTTTCTTGGTATCTAGAACTCTTAAATATAGGTAAGCGGTGAAAAAAAGATTGAAACATTTTTCTTTCAATAACTTTCGAAACGCATTCAATATGTTTCCTAAATGCTTCAACTATAACAATATTTTTATCTCGAGGATGATCTCCCGATATTTGTGCATTCCGAAAGTTGAAGAAAAGTATTACAATCTTTGGCTCCAAGATTCTATCCGTTGACTAATCAAACGTATCACATCTTTTAGTTGCCTGATAAATAAATAAAGAATTTCCGCACTCACAGTTATGACTATAATAACGCTGCTTGGCTCCAATATTAATCCTTTTTCTACTATATGTTCCAAATTGAAGAACTTATTTGCAGAATCCATATTTCTGAAATTTAAAAAACGATATTATACGGTCATAATTTTTGCATTGTGGAAACTTTAAAAAACGCTACGCTATCCAGTGGATTCCACGGGAAAGATCCCAAGAAATTTGATAAACTTATTTTTAAGAAATACATATCTTGAAAGATGCACTCTTTTAAGACGACTTGGAAAAAATTTTTTTGTCATCGAAAAAAAAGATATCTCCTGTTTCAGAAATTTGTAACGTAACCGTCGTTAAAAATGTTTGCATGCAAATATAATGAGTGTTGACGATTACGCTAATAACTTAAACGATCGATGCAGAGAGCGTGGGAGTACATTTACATCAAGCGACGCGCAAATGTGCACAAACACGTGACAACTCGGTCTTGATCAGATCTGGTTTTAGTTGATAACGCTTGATCGTTGTGAAAAAATGATACCCAATTAAATCATATATATATATATATGCAAAGTTAAGCGATTGTGATCCCTTTGGATTTTGATTCGCAGATTATTCGATATTTTTCAAATTCATTCAGATAAACACAAGTTCGGAACACAGTAGACCAATTCGCGTGCCGCATCCAAGTCGTCCGCATGAAGCTACGAGCGTGAGAGACTAGCAGCAATGTGGAGCTAGCTCGCATACAATGCGTTTTTCATTAGAGAGAAGCAGTTGGAATGTGTGCTGTGTACGTAAACGACGATCCGGTCATAATGGACATCATCATCATCATTGGTCAATCAGTTGCGGAATCCATCATTCCAGCTCTCATAATTCGCACGTCGACATTATAGGCGAGTAATTTTCTTCAACAGATGTTCTCTTTACTTCGCACGAAAAGCGTACTTCCATTCCTGTAGCAAAACAAGAACATGTCTTAAAGTCTGATTGTCTGACAAAATGTAAAAAGTCTCGTATCTTCAATTGTTTCTATTTGATATCGCACTAGAAAAAAAAATAATCCAGAAATCTAATAACTTAAGAAAAAATTTCGATTGTACAGCGAATATTTTAATGAACAAATGGTATATTGTAATAAAAAAAAAATTCAAACTTTCAAAAATTTATTTAATCTTTTACATATGTCAATGTATAAAAGAAATATCTGACAGTTTTTAGACGATGTATTATGTATCACTTTCATCTTCAATCAGAAATACTGCGCTTTAAACAATTCAAATACTTTTGCACAGCATTTTTATCATTGTTATATCAATATTAATTTTAATCCTAGTTTGATTGAAGACACAAGATGTTTGCAGAAACAATGTTCCATATAAAATAATATGAATGCTGGAAGAAGCGCATAATATTAAATAAACTATATTAAATTAACTATTTGTATTTATCATCATGGCAAGCACATAAAAATTAAGGAAATAACTATAATGCACAATTATTGCTCCAACATGCAGTTCCATACATTAGCAAATTTACATTTTAGTTCCAAATTTTTTCAATATTTTACAAATCATTAATATTAATTTTATATTTATTATACTGAATAGAATTATCACTATGATACATATTTTGTTGCTATTACCAATATTATAATTCAGGGATTTTGCAGCAAGAGCAACTATCACTTGGAACAATGAGAATTAAGAAGACAAGTAGATAAAGATGATAGATAAAATATGTTAAAAGAGTAAAAAAAGATATATAATTTTTTCTCGTCCTTGCTATTGCTGTAACATACTATCTTTATCTTTCCTACATTTTTTTTAGGAAATATTACATGTTATAATTATCCACTTGTCCCTTCAATACTATTAGCACAAGTTGTGTTCATTCAAAAGAAACAGAATTGACACGACATTAAAAAAAAGGAAAGTGGAGGAAAAAGATCGTCATCGAGAATCAATGCAATCCATTACATTCTCTGTACTAATAACGTAAAAATAAAAAATTCTAGTTCTACGAAAAAAATACGTACCTTATTGTCTGTCCATTCATCCACAAACGAGGCGTTTTTTCCGTTGCATTATCATCATCATCGGCTTGTACTCTGGATTTCGCTCCGTATATATTCAAGAATCGAAGCGAAACAAAAGCGACAACGCGAGTCGATCCAGAGAACGAACAGTGCGGTTAAGCACAGGTTTTGCGTGCGAGCCAAATCACATACGATATTCCATTCATTATCAACATACATTACAATTACATCCCGTAGATTACAGCTCTTACTCTATATGTCTAATTATAATTGATACATGAATGTACGGGATGTTCCAGATCTGAGAAGAAAGTTGTTCATTTTCAGTCTATAATTCAAAAATTAATGGTACCTCTCCATATTTCTATAAAGTAAAAATCGACTTCAAATTGATTGCAGAATGTATGGTTAAAAAATCGATCTGAAACATCTTATATAATCAGAATCGCAGCGAGGTAATCTTAGAATTCTAATCGTAATTCTAATCATTTCATAGCGTACAAACTATAAATAAAAAATTGTCAAAAGGTTGAAACAAAATTGACGTCCGCAAAATAGAGTAAAAATCGAATAAACTCCAAATATCCGTTTGAAAATAATTTATTTATCATTTATTAAAGTCTCAAGGCACTACCTTCATCATTTTTTTTATCATTAAGTATCTATTAGTAATTTAATCTAAGATAAAATAATCATTAATTTATATAACAAGTTATCCTCTTAAAAAAATATGCTAAAAGCGTCGTTTCACACAACATATAAAACTTTGTTTTCTTCAGCCAAAGCTACACATTTTCGGTATCTCGCAGTGTAAAAATCGACAAGAGGAGCACTAATTCTTTCTTTTTTTACATGCACCATTGAGATCCTATGAGAGATATTGTCTACGCTACTTTTTCTTAGTAAGCATAAGATATATTCCAAACATAATTTAAACGCTGCATTTTTCTTTGTTCCAATCCCAAATGTCGAAAAATTGATATCTATTTATAACGCATATCGTTTTTGACGTATGCTTCAACGTGTCGTAAGTATTTGTTGGTACACAGAATATATATCACATACACTGCGTTGGAAATTCAGAAGAATTCCTTACGAAGTCGATTGAATTATGTAAATAAAACAAGAATCGAAATATATTTTCTATAATTTTTAACGCATTTCAATTTTTATCTAAATTGTAGGCAATTGTAATTAATATATAGTGCGATATATATATATATATATATATATCGGACATAACTGTAATAAATGCAAACTAAATAAAAATCGAAATACGTTAAAAATTGTTATTGGATTGATAGTGACACTTTTAACAGAAACAATATCTCCTTTCTTTATTTATGGAGATTACTTAGTTATTAATATATCTTGTGTTATACTACTCTCTTCGGCAAATTACAAACGTCATCTTTGCGAATCTATACTGTCTTATATAGTTAAGCAAAGCTGCTACACAATAGTACTACTTTTCAACGATATGTGCATAGTTTCATCGAACTTTGGCGAGAACGAATGAAAGAAACAAGGAGACTCAAAGCATTTGAAAGAAAAGAAGAAAGAATTCCACGTCGAGCTCTAAAACATGACGATTTTTATAAGCAAAAGTACAATACTATGCATTCTATTAATTTCCACTCAAGTCTTTCCGTAAACAATTTCCTACTTTTGAATTTCTATCAATATTTTATTACATTTGCTTCTTTATTCTAATTAAAAGCAACGTGTTGAATAAATTTGTAACTGTATCGTAATTTCATCAACAAGCATGAGTAGATGTCTATACTGGAAGATTAGTTTTTCACATAAATGCAATTTGTACATGATGCATACATCACAATATTAAAGCACATAAGAAAGTTTCGATAGCTTTATCTGTAATAAACGGATGAAAAGAAATGCCATTCCAAACACCGCCTTTCGTCGTCTTAATAAAAAAAAATAAAATAAAATAAATAAAAAATTTAAAAGAAAAAAACAAAAAAAAAAGAAATCGAATACGATGTAAGAGAAATCTTCTGTTGGTTAAATAAAGAATTTCTTCTAGATCCTAAATATGTACACGTGACATTATCATTAATCTCATATGTGAAAAACGCAATTTTTCAACTTTATTTAACCCGGTGTCTGACACTGTTATTTTTTAAACCCAATCTCTGATACGGGGGTACATGGAGATCCTAGTTTAAAATATAAATTTTCTAATTAAAATTTTTATACAAAGTTATATTAAAACTCCAGAACAAAATACTTGAAGGTTTAAATTGATATCGAAATTAGGAATCGAGATATCGTTATTCGAAGAAATAGTTGTTTTAAAAAGTGTGTGTGGTTAAAGATATGCTTAGAGTATGCACAAGGACCCCCGGCTCAAATTTCGGGTTTGTGGTAATTTTATCCTAAAAAAAATGTATAATTTATTCACGCGCTATGCACTTGCTTGGTTAAATGATTAATTGATATTTCGCAAAATTTAACAACAAAAATAGTCTGATGAATAGTATGATCGTTACAATCTATCAATATAATCAACCTAGAATTGATACATCTAATATTTTCCGAAATATGGTCGCTCTCCCCGTTCCTATTTGCACCTGGCTTCATTCTTTCGTGTGTAAACCTTATAGATGTTAGTGCGATCCAAGTGTATCTTATATTGAAGTTTGTGTATCTAAATATTCGTGCATCACGCGTCACCCTATACGTGCATCACCCTAAAATCTGGCATTTTAATTTTAAAACGCTTCACCATATTTCAACTACAGAGATCTCAAGTAGAGATATCGAGAAATCAGATTGACATAAATGATCATCAAGTGTGCTAGATTTAAGGGTTACGATTAAAGGGTGCACTTTGAAATCTTTGTTCGCCTTAGAAAGTACACCTATCTACCCAGTGACGTCGTACTGAAAAGATCGTCGTTAAACGACAATACGTTAGAATAGATCTGTTCTCATTACCTGCGCTATATTTTCTCGTCGAATGTTATATTTTCTGCATTTAAGATAAAATTAATGTTAAGCATTGGACAGGAAGAAAAAGAGGAGAGATAAAAACCGAGAGAAGATATAAGAGGCGTAGCGGAAGAGAACGGACCTAACGATATATACAGATGGAATAAAAGCTAACGAGAAACGGAAAACGAGATCCGCCTAGCCTACGTAGATGACGAATGAATGCCGAAAGCCTGGAAAATCTTGTTTTTAAAACCGGGTTTGTTAGGACTAGCGTCGTGTTGGTGCTGGCCGCTGCTTGTCGTCGATTGTCCTTCGTGTAGCGCCCTTTGCACCAACGGCAGCGAGCTGTTCGCCTGTGTTCAATCGCGTTCGTGTGCGTGCGTGTGCGGTCGTCGACGAGATTCAGATGTCAGAATTCAATCAGGTCAGGTTGTGCCGGACGTGACGGACGACGGGACGGAACGAAAAAAAGAACAAAAAGAAAGAAGAAAAGGATAGTAGACGACTATGAGTGTTCGTGTCAGCTACAACATGGCATGCAAAAGTGCGTACGGCTAAATTGTACGTCAAAATGACAAATAGAAGAGTGAAAAGTAGACTCACCTCCTCGTGACTCTGTTCGTGCTCGCTATTGGCCAAACTGGATCGTGAGCCGCGTCTGGTAGAGCCTTTCTCGTCACCCAACAACTGTGCCACTCGTGCCTTGTTCACCAATTCCAGTGCCTGCAAAAAGAAAAGAAAAAACAAATAACTATATTTATAAAGTACTGTCAAATATTTCTGTGACCTTTTGTCTTCTTATTTCTATTATTATTAACGATCTTAATTTATGAAATTTGCTTGTAAGTTTTCATCTTTAATCTTTTACAATCTCAACACTCAGAAACCAATTTATTTAACATGTTGATTGCCAACACTTTAAGCGATACACTCACTTTCAGAATTATCTTAGAATTATCTTACTTTTAATTGATATTTCTTTCTATTTTATTATTATCACATAATATATGTATATTACTATTACACATGGCAGTCAACATTAATCTTAATTAAAATTAGAGTGACTAAAAAATATATTTTTTTTAAACTGCAGAAAAAATCTGTGCGATTAAAGTTTGTGTGATTAAAGAGCAAAGTGCAGTTTTTTTTGCAAAATGTTAGATTAGCATTAAATAGTTTTACTCACTTGCTGCACGTGCTGCGTGCAAGAAACGTGAGAAATATTGTTAGTTATTTACAATATACACATATATTTCTTTAATAAAAGAAAGAGCAAAGTGTTTTGCATAATTACCTCTCTTCGAGATCGCATGGCGCAGTCTTCGAGCGTCTCCGCGGCTTCGTATTTACCCTGTCTTCGATAGAGTGCACCAAGGTTCTTTAAGGTGGTGGTGACGGTGGGAGAATCTACTTTTGCGGCTTTGTGCCAGCCACCGTACTCGCCGTACGGTGTATTCTCTTTATTTCTGTGCTTGTTCTCTTCCCTTTCTTCAGCTACCTAAAATGGAAACCAAAAGTTCGATTATACGATAATATATTTCAACAACTTTTCCAAGAACTCAAGAATATAAGAATTTTTGTTTGCGCATTGCAGACATATTGAATTAAGCGTCAGAGAAGCGAGAACTTTTAAATTTTTTGTTTTCATTATGCATCAAGGGATTACTGATGAATAAATCGTGATTGGATTCTTCGTTTGTTTTTTGTTTTTTCTTTTACTCAGTTACTTTTATTATTTTGATCTTTTTGCAAAATGTCGAAAAAATGAGCTCTTATTCGCAGCTTCGACAACACTTTAAGATGCTAGCGGCTGAACGTTTCGTACCTGCCAGATTGGCTTGTTGTCGCCATCAATGGCGCCAAATTCCCTCTCGTGCGCCCTGGTAAGCACTTGTTTGTACAGTACCTCGGCGTCTTTGTACTTTCCCTGTTTTAGGTAACAGGACGCCAGATTGTTCTTCGTCTTAGCGACGTTTGGATCGTCCGGGCCCAATTTGGCTTCATAAATTTCGAGCGCGCGCTGATAGTAACGTTCAACCTCCTCGTATTTGCCCTGGTTCTGACACAGTAGCGCTAAATTATTGAGTTGCTTTGCCACATCCGGATGGTCGCGACCTAGCACCTTCTCACGGATCTCCAATGCTCGCTTGCACAGAGGTTCAGCCTCCTTGTACTTCCCTCGTTTTCCATACAGCACCGCTAGATTGTTCAGCGTTGCCGCCACTGCAGGATGATTCTCACCTAAGGTCTTTTCGCGGATCGCTAGAGCGTCATTCAGAAGATTCGCGGCTTCTTTATATTTGTTTTGATCTCGATATACGAGAGCGAGAATGTTCAGCATGGTCGCTACGTCGGGATGATCGTGTCCGGAGGTTTTTTCCAAATCCTCTAAGGCTTGTTTGCACAGGGGGACCGCCACTTCGTAGCGGCCTTGACTCGCATATTGAATCACCAGATTGTGCAGTGTGCGCAAACGTGCCGGTATCTCGTAGCCGGCGTTCACTTGTTGCGCAAACTGCGACGGCGGAGTCGGAGATATGGCTAAAAATTCAATAAAAGATCCTTATTAACAAAACAACTATGCGATGCTTGAAATTTTAAAATAAAATTCTAAAATATTTCACGTTTAATAACCCTTAAAGGTCATAAAAGATCTAAAGAATTTTTTTTAGTTAAACCACAGTTGCTTGTATCATTTTATTTATTGTTAATTCTTCAGCAACATGTGATTATTTTTTGGAGAGCTTTAATATATTTGGAAAATTATTATATTGGACAATTAAGACTAGAGGGATTCACCTACATTTACTATTTCGATCATCCGTGTCATCATCGGGAAAGAGATCCACTACTGGGTCGTCCTTCGGTCGATCCTTAGCATTTTCATCCTCTGTCGATGGATCCGGATCATATTGCCGCATACTGGCCATAAAGTCTAGATGCCGCTTCTCTTCCTCCAATTGAGCAACCTACAATTGAAAATGTAACAGGCTTGTCGAGTTGATTCAGAAAAACCAACTAGAATAATGGGCAAACTATCTGCTCAGTGAAAGAGTTTTATTAAGAAAAGACTGTCTTTGATTCTTGAAATGTTAATTGTTGTCGGGAATTTCACCTATTCATGATAAAAACCGTTAACATGACCCTCGACATCATGCAGCAACATAATTGTAATGTGCCTCTAGTGACAACTTAATAGTCATAACGCACCTAATTACATTTCCCAGCAACTTGAGAACAAATAATAAATATCGACATCGACTTCCGGATAATGCAACTATTTATTTGACACGTTTATTTCTGTATTACATTTCAAATGTTATATAAATCATTGTTACAAATAAAACAAAATATACATTTTACTATGCTTTACACTAAATAATTATGTTGATCCAGACGATATTGTATTGATACGTAATATGCAATAAGTAAAATTAAGTCAAATTTTACAACTATCCTATGAAGTTGATTCATAGGATTCAACTCTAAAAAATCAAATATATTGTTTTCTTATTAAATTCGAATTATTTTGCTTTGTTGCGATCTGGATCCTGCTGCATGATGATAATGAGAATTTCTTTTTTTCTTCGTTGTATTCTGTGGTCAGATGTACCATGTAATCCAGATTCAGATTACGCGCGTTTTACAGAGTTGAGCTCTTATTGCAGAAACTACTTTTCAAAATTTAATTTCGCCAATTTCTAATTTTAACTTTGCAACTAACTTTTCACGTATTAGGTTGTTAATTTTCTCACATAATGACATTGTCATATTATCATTTTCTTCAGTTAAATATTGTTTAATATAATCTTTTGCTTCCGGTCCTAATAACTCGTTCGATTTTATCTTGCGTTTTACAGAGTCGAGCTCCGCTCTGAGTTGCAAAGACACATTTTCTTGTATCTTGATATGAAATTGTAGAGACTCGTTTTCACGTTTTATTTCGTCCAATTCTAATTTTAACTTTGCCTTTTCACATATAATGTTTAATTTCTCTTGTAATAACGCCTGACATTTCATGTCGTTGAGCTGCACCAACTTTAGCTCTTCTTTTCTTGTTTCGGAATTAACCTTTCTGCCATTTGAGTTGTCTTCAACCACAATTTTCTGTCCTTCCTGTCCTCCTATCCTTTCTGTCATGAATTTACCTTCAACGACATTTAGTGCAATCAATTAAGAGATTCGCTTTTGATTTAACTTCTTTATTACTTTACTTACGTAATCTGGATATGAGAGTTTCCCTATCACCATTTGTATTCAATTCTCAATTGCGCAGCAACCTTTTCAACGCTACAATACTTAAATCTTCCAATTTTACTTTCGATTTCTCTTCAACAATTAAATCTTCCATTGTTCTCTTAGAATGTGCTTGTTGAAATGATTGCCAAAGTGATCGTTAAAGTAAACTTTATACGTCGTTTTATAAACTTCAAAGTAAACTTTACTCGTCACTTTATACTCACTATACCGATAAGATTAGTTACACTCACCGATACAGATAAGAAGTTTTTAACTTTTTAATCTAGTAAAAATCAGAGCTTTCACGCTCATAGAAATTGCTTCCGAGTGTCGCAACAATCACCATCCAACTTTCTCGTGTCATACACATAGTAGTACTACTAGTGTTTCCTTCGTGCAACTCAATTGACAATTCTATTGTATGTTTTAAATTTCAAGTTTCTCAAGTTCTCGAGTATTAGATTCAAGTTTTTTTTCATTTTTAATTTTACATTACATCGCTATTTTATTCCTACACCGACGATTTGCGATATCCATAATTGTTCGCCTTTATTCTATATCTTTCAAGTCGCTTATAGTTCTCCGAGATTCAATTCAGTAACGTTAGCACATAATTGGAATTATTTGCATATGTATACGAAAACCACAAGCAAAGTAGCAATTAGTTTATTATATTGCTGTGTTGTACAGATTTGCTCTTTTCCAATTACCTAAGAAAGTATAAACGCAATAAAATTTCCGAGACAAAAAAAAACTCCAAAATATTTTTCTCGTAAAAAAATTCGGAAGTAATAAATATGTACATTGCCTAAAGTTGTTGCGTTAGCGAGCCTGTATTAACATGCATTAACAACGACGTGTGTCGATAGTACTTACAGCTTGTTCACTCGCTTGCAGCTTTTGCTGAGTTCCGGCCAGCTCGTCTCTGAGCCAAGCGTTCTCTTGGCACAGCCTTTTCACCTGCGTCCTCAGCTTTTGCTTCTCCGCTTCCACCATCTGCAGGTGGCTCGCTAGCGCCTGCATCACTTGCGCCTCGCCCAGACCCAGATCGATCATCTCGATGATCTTGGACAGCAGACTGGCCTTGTCTCGGGCGGCCGGTGCGTCCTGGGACTGCAGACCCTGTAGCAAGCCACCGTGCTCGACACGCAAAGCCTCCAGGCCCTGAGCGACCGTTCGTGCTCCGGCCACAATCTCCTCCTGCGTCATCGCCGTCATTCTGCCTATGTTCTCGATCTTTTTACTGAAAGTAAAACGAAGGAAAAGTTTATTTATATTTGTAAATCAACAATGTTCTTTTTATTCCTTTTTGTAACATTGTGCGTTTCGTTGGAAAATATAAATAGTTGGATTGATACATTTTAAAGTTCTTTCTTAACATCTTTAAAAAAGGATGTTTAAAGAAGATCATGAAATATTCCACTTGGTACATTTATTGCAGATACCTTATAACAAAGTGTCAAAAAAAATGAGTATCCCAGTTATTTTCGCAGCATGGTTGGTGAGCGTCGAGACGCTTCCGGAACTGAGAATGACATCGAAGGTCGTGTCATGTAGGTGTAGGGTCCCGCAGACCCCGTTGAGCATGACAACGATAATGTTCCAAAGACACGATCGCGACACTCGATCGGAGAAGAGTCACTGGCAAAAGAGGAACGAGGAACCAGAACGAGAAGAGAAAACTTACCCCATGTCTTCAGGATTGCGTTAGAGCTGTCTACGTGCTGGTCTACGTATGGTATCACCGGCTCAATATTTCGACGCCGACGCAGCGCGACGCCGCGGCGTTCTCTCGTCGCTCCGATGCAGGGAGAACACGTGTATATAGAGCGATTCACGAAGGTGCACACTTTGGTACATTATTATTCTTATCATTCGGATTATCGAACAAGGCATCTCTAATTTTTTATATTGCTATAAAATTATCGAGTTATAAAATTAATCGAGTTATAATATTATAACACAGAGTGTAAGGAAATAAAATATAATCTGATTGCAGAAATTAGAGATATTATAGAATAGAGTTGCAGTTTTGCATCACTCTGCAACTCTGTATTGTTCTTTTACACCATATTACTTACAATGGCATTACTGTGCAATTTCTATGATGCTGGAAAAATTTTAATAAAGAAATTAATATGTGCAAAAGAGTGATAGCAAGAATAGGAATGCACTCGTAAAATTATAGATAACAGCCTTTTTTTCTTTCTCACTTCTTTAGATTAGAAAAAAAGCAAAAAAAATACAAAAAATACAATTGGTAAAAAAGTCACCTCTTTTGTGAATCGGCTTGTAAAGATGCAACACGACTAGCAATTGGATGGTGAAGAACAATCCAATGCCGGTGTCGCGTAATCGATAGGGGTCGGTCGAGAGATGATAACTTTTAAAGATTTATCATCATTACAATGGAAAAATTGATTTCCGATGATATCGTATATACCTTTGAACAATAATGATTCTCTTTCGGAATTGATTTGTCACTGTAGCGTGACTAAATAATCGATTGCCAGTTTTCCGATCATGCGAAGTCTCTATCGTCTCATTCTGACCTCACAATCGTCATTCCGTTTGTTGGCGATATATCGAAAGTCATTTGACGGTTTTCAGATACCGAACCGATATGTCTATCACGAAATAATGGCCGAGAGACAAAAAAAGTTCCGGTCAAATATTTATCTAAACAGATATCTATATGATTTCTACCGATGTCCTTGACGCTTGACGAGTTTTCAGACATTCGTAAACCTTGACCTCGTCCAACAACTACTTGGCACCGCGAGCGAACATGGCGATTGGATCAATTGTCTCAGTACTTTCATCATCCGATTGCTTTCGATCTCTCTGGCGACTGATCATCCGAGATAACGGCGATAAAAAATGTCGAAACAACGAAAATTACTCTCAATAATCTGTCCTAAGATTGTAAAATCTGCCTGGAATTAATTGGCGATTCATCAGCATGTGAACCTTTATATGAATTGAAGATGGAAAAAGTTAGCAATCGCGTGATTTCAAACCTTAGAGCAACTTTAAAGAGCATTCCAATGATGAGTTTCGGCGAATAACAAGATAACAAGAAGAGCAAGGAAACAGGAAAAGCCCTCAAAGGGCAAAGAAAATCATTTACTCCGTATAATCTTTATTTTGCTTTATAATTGCTTTTCAACTACCCTTGGTTTCCTATCTTTACACCTACGCATTTACGATACACTCGTGTTATATTAATCTTGTGAATGAAAAAATCACTCATGTGAGCAAATTCATATTAATATATAATAATTTTTTACTTGAATTAATTGTAATTAATTTGATAAATAAAAAGTATAAAAGGAATAAAAAATAAGAAAAAAATACGCATTTTTAATTCCTTCTTTAGGTCTACTTGGAAACTTTCATCTCAAAGAATCTAGAATAAAATATAAATTTTAACAACTCGAAAACTCACTCACTAGATTTATTAAGCTGATAAAAGAGCTCGTTCGTCTTTTGTTTTGTTACTGCAAGCACACTAGATAGGATAAAACTTTTTAACCGATTTAATATAATTTTAGATTATTTTTAGACTAATATAAAAATGGTTAATTAATCTATTTATATATACAATCGCACGCGTTCTCAATTCTTTCAACGCATAATCGCAGTTTAGGTTCATGCGGAGGAAGCAAATGGAATATGGGAAATGCTAATAGTAACATTGCGTATTTACGTAAGTACGCAATAGACCGTGAAATATTCGATACTATAATGTAGTGGCGCTCGCGTTTTATTTATCGATAAAAAAAAAGCTGTTTTTCTACCAAAGTCCATTCATCAAAAGATTATCAATCAAGAAGACAAAAGTCTTATCGATCAAAAATAAAAGTTTAGATCTATTTCTTTCTCGTTGTAAACACTTTCTTAAAATTTTTATTTTTTATCTCTTTTCCTCGACTTCAATGCAAATAGATCAGTGTCGTCAGACACAAGACAATTAATTATTTTTAGAACTTGCGACAACATAAACAATTTTTTATAATATTCGAAATAGTCTAATATCTTTTCATACGTAAAATTAGTAATCATTTGCACACCAACATTAATTAATATTAACATAGGAATCTACTTTTCAATAAATCTCCAGCATAGATTTACGTTGCTGAAAACAAATCGAAGCAAATTCTTCACGTTTAAACTAGTATTGTACGCTAATATTGATGAAAATTTCTCTAAAATTCGATTTCAATCTTTACGCATGTCTGTGAAAATTTCGTACATCTGTAACTGATTCTAGATTAATCATTGATGAGAGTGATAACCACGTCGCGACACCATGCCAGCCGTCGATCGATTCTCGCGTTCAGCATAGGCAACAATTGTACAATTTCTCAATCTGCTACGTAGCAATCGAGTGCGATTGTTTCTCATTCCTTAATGCAATCTAATTTTAAGGATTCGCATACAAATTAAGTTATTCCTCCATCAGTCGCTATAATTATTTTCCCAATCCCACATTAGCGCTATGTAAGTCCGCTTGGTAAGTCTGCTTGCATTAGCTTTAGTTTCTTGCGTTTGATACAAAGTAGATATACATGTAGGCGTCAAAGGGATAAAGTAGAGAATATCTTAAAACAAGGGAATCTGCTAATTATGGCTCTACTGATACAGAATTCAGTAAAAAGATTTAACAGAAATTAGCTTAGCTTGTGACACTGTTACGAAATGACAGCATTAACGGGATGCATCTTGAAGATGCAGGATCAGCAATTTTTAATCAAGATTCCACGAATACACGCCATTTTGTCACTTGAAATGTGCGATTGTAAGGATGTTATTGATGGAAATTTTGATGAGGAACATTATAGACTTTTTCTACGATGTCTACTCACATTCTATAGGCGTTGAGCGTCTTTGACATATCCGTCCTACCCATCGGTAACGGTGGACTTTGCCAGATCTCTATCGACTTCACACCATATATTTGCGCGGTGGTCTTTTCTTCCCGTGGACGTATTTTGAGATATAAAAAAGTCACCTGATCATCGTCGGTACAAAAATATAGATTGCATATAAATACGCGCGCGTGTATACGTTAGTTTACATATTTATTACACGTAAATGTGTATAGACGCGCGCGCGCTCACACACACACATACACACATGTGTATATATACACACACATGCGCGCGCGCGCTATGTATAAGTGTAAGTGTAAGTGTGTATGTATGTGTGTATGTGTAATTTCGATCGCTACGAAGTTCGCACCACGCGGGGTCGCGTTCAGTCTCTCACTGAAGGTTCATCTTGGCTTCTCTACCCCCGTTGCGAGCCCATCCCTACCATGGAAAAGGTGCAGAGCACCAGTGGGGATGAAAAGAGCATAACGCCTGCGCTATGATTTTGTATATTATAGGGGATGCGCGCTGCAGCTACACGAAGAGTGCATAAATCGCGATGCGCCCTTGCGTAGGGGTGTCGTTGCGTTAAAAAATTTAAATTGAAACGATTTCTGAGATTTCTAATGAGAATTTAACATTCGATATTCGTGTAAAGATTCTTTAACAAATTTTTTTCCTAATAACTATGACTGGCATTCGATGACTCATGGCATGATGACAGACCGTTTGGCCAGTGATATACTATATCTGACAATGCATTGTACATGTGCGCAGTACTGTGCAAACCTGCTGCTTTTGTGGCATATAATACGATATATTAATATACATATATAATGTATAATAATAAATATATAATTCCAGCTCCGAATTAATCGAATTGACCGAGTTATAATAATACACATTAGATTATATTCAATTTTCAATTTCCTAACTTTTTGCTAATTATGCAATTCATAATTAGAAATCGATATATATATATATTGGACTATACTATAGTGAATGATTTTAAATACAGTATAGTCTAAATATTGGGTGGTATACAAAATACATATAGAGAAAAATTAACTTGAACGATAAACAGTAGCAAAATAATGTTACTAACACTGAGAAGGAGAAAAAGTTTTAACTTTCGCTCGAGACTGATGAGAAAGATTTAAGTATGATGAAATAGTTTCACGATAATCAAGATTGCTTTCCTAAATATCCCAACAAATGAAAAAAAACTTTGTATCCAGTAAAATAGACAATAGATAATAGATAGATAATGTACAATTAATATGTACATATAAATATCCAAAAACTTGTAAATGGCAGATTCTCTTACCAATTTGAAATCGATTTTTCCTGAGCTAAAATATCGAAGCACCAATAGTTTATAAGTAATAACCAACTGATGAATACAAAGCATTTTACAATCTAACATTAAGATAACAGAGTTGTATTCTCATTAAGCTAATTTCAAGTCAACTTTAATCTGATAAATTTTCGATTGGAAACTTAACAACAAAAAGAAATAGAACGTTAAAAATCAAAAAGTTTGATAAATTCTCTCTATTTCCACTGAGGAAAAATTGATTTCAAATTAACTAGAGCATTTGTCACTAAAAAAACAATCACGATTTTTGAAAGAGCCTATGTATAAACAGGAATCAATTATCGATGTTATCAATCATATGTATATTAAGCTCACATCTTGAGCGAAGATTTCAATAAGAGTCTCAATCAAGTCAAGTGCTAATTCTTGCATAGTATTATACATTCTGATCTTTTTCTTGTAAGACTGATATTTTGTGAACAAAATCAATTTAAAAAAATATAATTGTTTTACATATTGAAGATATGTTTTCGAATCATATTATTGTAATTTAGCTTTCCATTATTGTCACTTAAAAATCAGTGTTTTTTCTCAGGTTTATTAGTTATTTACTTATTTTTATATCATTCTTGTAAATATTTTAAAAACACAAAAGTTTAGTTAAGTTATTAATTATTAATATTTTTATTGATTAAATTTTGTTTTAAATTCTATCGCAACTTATAGATTGTCTAAAGTGTGCTCCAAAAGGTAGTCGAAACAACGACATTCGTCAGCGTCATGGTTGCTGACCTACCGTTATGCTTCCGCGGTAACTTTCTTCGGAAATAAATTAAGCTAATCACGTACCCAGCTAAATTACATTCGCAGCAAATCTTAATGCATTTATTCTAATGAACTTCGATCAAACTTGATCAGCGGAAAATAAACTAAACAGTCCCATTCAAATTGACACATGACAATTAAATTCACAATTTCGTCGCAATTTCGATTCCCAAACTATATTCCAAACGCATAAAAATTGTTATAACAAGAGGACTCGCATTATTTACTGATTTATCAATTGAACAATTAAAACAATTCTAATTAAATATCATAGCACATGTGTTTTAAATAATTCAACGGCATAATGAAACTAGTCACATATCAGTTTTATAACGAATACACACTCTCGAGAGATATCCAGATTACTATTGCAACAATCTATGCTTACTCTTGCGAATGGTCCATGCAAGGTTGCCACCGTCTCGCTCAATGTAGCATCCCACCGGATCAAGGATATTGTCGAATGTTCCAAGAAGGTTTTCGAGACGTCCCAAAGATACCCTCGTAAAATTCTGCGAAGGGCTTTGGCAAAGAAAAAACCGGTCTCTCTGGTAGATCGAACCGGAACACCGGAGATGTGCGTGAAATCGTAGAATCGATCTTTGCACAAATTTGATACCGGAGCGATACAATTTTGGAAAATAAAACTCACGATTTTCACGCGACGAAAACACGATGACGGTCGACGAACATCGAGGTCTCACTTCTCGTGACTGTTTTTGTGACGGCGACGACGACGATGATAGACAAAGATGGCGAGGCTCAAACTCAGGCCTCTGCCAGCAGCATCACATATCTCGCAAAAACGAGCCTAAGGCGAGAACGCCACGATCGTCAGCTATTGAGAGACGGCGTGAGGACGCACTCGTGAAAAATTAGATAAGACGTTGCCGAGAGAAAGCGAAACAAATCGCGATGCAAAATTATCGCGCGATAAATCTCTCAACTGCAAAATCGCGACGGCGCTCTCAACCAACTGGGCTGATTTTCATAATTATCGAATCTTTATAAAGGTTATTTTACATTGCATTAGTTATGGCGTTCCTAAAGTCACTTTATCCACTACATCGGCCATCTAGTGATTTGTGTTTAATTTACTAAAGCGCAATCAACTCAGCGCCATCTGCATCGACTTCTTATCACGAACTTTGTAGCCATCTCCATTTCGCAGTTACAAAATGGGCGATCAAATTTACCGGCTATACGGAAGTACGCTAGAAGATAGAAGAGTGAATTTTTACATGTGAAGGTGCCGGAAAGCCCATGATCTCGTTAAAGTATGGCATTTGCGATGCGAAGTTTACGAATTTTATGTAAAATATACAATGCGAACGCTAGAATGACCTATTGTACTTTTCAACGACCTACTGGCCGAATATCACTCATCCAAATAACGCAAAAATATCGTTATAATACCGAGAGTGAGTATCGTATCAGTCATAACCTCTAATGTGCTACGAAGAGAGCATGGGCAATCTATTATTGTTAAAAATTTAATTCAAGTCATAAAGAACTCAATTTAGGTTTAATTTAATTTAAATAAAAAATTGTACACATCAAACATGCTGTCGTTAATGATGAAAGAAACAAACATGCTTAATATTTAATAAACATTTTTATATGTATATTTATAAAAGAAGAAAAAAGGAATTGTCAGTGAAAAAGTTTTATTTTACTTTATTATTGCCATAAAAAATAATTTAAGTATATTTATTTTGTCAATTATACATAAAAATGATATTTTGGAATTTGTCAATAGTAACAAATCGACCAAAAATCACCAGTAATCTAACAAACATACAATCATCAATAAATGAAGCTGAGTCATTGAGACAGGAAACAGCAGCTCATAAGAAACAGAATGAATCGACAGAAGATGAGGAAGAGAAGGCAAACCGTGAAAGATCAAAGAGAATGATGAATTATGGATTTGCAGCTTTTGGTATATTCATGGGTATTGGCTTCACTTATTTAGTATATGAATTAGGAAGACCTAATTATGATGAACATGGGAATGTCATCGAGGATGAATTTTCCAATTTACCCTTCTTTGAACAGATCTATAAGAGGGTCAAGAGAGAGCTGAATTATTATACAAGAGTATGATACATTTGCAATTATGTCTATGTATTAATTGAATTGTTTTTTACACTAAATATAATTTTTGGAATATATTTCTTAACTTGAAAGATATATATTTGGCATGCGAATCTATGAAATTATTCTCAGATATTAGAAAACATCTTATATGATGTTTATTATGTTTACAGTTAGTACAGGAACCCAGCAGGGAAAAATTATTACCTGATCCACTCAAGTATCCATATATTCAGCCACCATATACTCTAGTTTTGGAAATGACCGATCTTCTTGTGCATCCAGACTGGACAGTAAGATTGCAATTTATAAAAGTATCAATTCATACACAATTCAATGTACTGTTTGATGTTATCATTGTAATGTCTGTAGTACCAAACTGGGTGGAGATTCAAAAAACGGCCTGGAGTAGATCAGTTCTTAGAAGCAGTAGCACCACCACAATTTGAAATCGTCATTTATACAGCTGAGCAAGGAATGGTAACTTTTTTTTTTAATTCCAAAAATATTGCTTTATTTTGCGTATGTGTGATAAAAAGATAATCTAATATATCTAATATAATGAAGAAAGATGATATATTGTGTGATTTTAATTATAGACGGTGTTCCCTATTCTGGATGCACTTGACCCAAATGGATATATAATGTACAGATTAGTTCGAGATGCAACGCGTTTTGTGGATGGACATCACGTTAAGGATTTAGGAGCTCTCAATCGTGATCTTAGTAAAGTAATTGTCACTCTATTAAAAAATTTCACACAGTTTCTTTATACTGCAATTATTAGTTTTTCACATTGTACATATTAATAGGTTATTGTTATTGATTGGAATGAAGAGAGTGTCAAGTTACATCCAGAAAATGCATTCAAACTCTCTCGATGGGCGGGTAATGATGATGACACTACGTTGTATGACTTGGCTGCATTCCTAAACAGTAAGATTTATCTCAACATTATTCGCTTCAAGTGTTTCATAAATATTTTTCCTACGGGTATACATTTAGAGTTTTTCCGATTATAAAATGTTAGCATAATTGACTTCCTTTTGGCCGATAAAGATACATAAAAATACATTTTATTTTACAGCGATATTAACATCAAACGTGCAGGATGTGCGAGACGTTTTGAATTACTATAGACAATTTGACAATCCATTGGAAATGTTTAAAGAAAATCGACGAAAATTATTGGTAGGTTGTTATGAATGTAAAGATAAATATAAAATATGTAACTGAATATTTGACTGTATAATAATAATAATAATGATGATAATAATAATTATTGATAGATGCAAATGGAGGAGGAACAAAACAAGGCTGCACTGGACAGCAGCAAAGTACTTACTTCGAGATGGAAACCATCTTTTCTACGAAACCGCTAGTCAAGGTGAACCAATTACATTGAAATTTGAAATATCTACAGATGAATACGTAATACGTTTGAATACGCAGTACAGTCGATCATTTCATCGCCTCACAAATACTATATATAATAATTATATAATTTTTATTAAAATAAAACGAATATTGTTCTAAATCACTATTTATGGTTCGTACGTCATTATGCATCATTATAAATATTTCACGTCTATATGTACAAATTATGTAATCTTGATATGTACGAAAATATAAATTTTAAATAATCTAATATTTTACGACATTCTCTCCAATTCAATTCAATTTCAAATATAAATTATGTAAGCTTATAAATGTCCCTTTTCCGTCTAGTCGATTTTGATTTAACTTTCGGCAACAATATGTCTTGCAATACATTGCTATCATCAATGTACATTAGATCTTGGTCTTGAGACACGCTAATTAATTCTTGAGTATTAATAGGTGTGGCTATGCATTCAGACTCATCCTGTGATTGCGTGTTGGGATGATTCGAAGTCGACGATTCCAACCAGTTCAAGACTTTCTGATGGGATCCCGTCCGTACAGGTACTGGTACTTGGTCACGTATTTCCCAAACTGCAAAAAGTTCTGGTGCTAATAGATCGATGTATGATCCCAATGTAGCCAACGATTGCTTCCAGGTTGGTTCAAAAGAATTGTCCACATCTATCCTACTGGGCTTTAAGCGGAGCTTTTTATTCGTGAAATCTGTAAAATTATTTTCATAATTTGAATTATTGAAGCTCGAAAATATACTTAAATAAAACTTCAAGTCTTGTTTTCTTACTTTCGTATATATGTTGCATGTTACACTTGTTGGTGATTGTTAGAGGTACTAGCGGTTCAGTTTGAGTTGATAAAGCTTTTTCCCACATGTTTAATGCATAACAAGCTTTGCCATTAACGGGAGAATATTTGTTCAATGTGTTTTCGTGTGTTATACATTGATAAAATATGTCACCTGAGTACAACAGAAAGGAGGATATTTAGATTTACACTAGGCACCAGCCACATTTTTTTCAAAACGTCAACTTAATAAGAAAATATAATTAATTGTACCGATCGAATTTTGAACAAAGTAGGACACAGCTCCTTTCTTTACATCTGTAACTAATGTGCTACCAGAGTTACACAATTCAAATCTGCTTCGTAAATATGGATTCAAGCACATTCCTTGTATTCGACATTCGTTCATCGTTTCTGCAATGGATGGAGGTGTGAAAGGTAAACTAAAGGAATGAGACTCTTCATTGTTCAGCCAAGTATTCAAAATTATTGCGTTTTCGCCGACTCTTTGAGTTGACAAGACAATAATCTCCTTGTCATCGCTGTAATTGATGCGTCATATAGTTAAGTTAACGATAATGCTTGTAATTGCAATTAATGTAATTAGGTTTCTCATTTAACATTACTTACCTATTAGTGACAGCTGCTAATAGCGGAGTATCTTTAAACTGATGTGTCCATTTTTGTCGTACGCATTGCTTCGGAGAACGATTATCGCACATTAAGAGAGAATGAGAAGTTGCTAAATATCGACAACAATTGTGTTTACTTGAAGCTTCCACCGAGAGGCTCTCGCAATTTTCCAAATTAAATTTTGGACACAATGTGAGACACGGTCGATCAAAAGCAGTCTATGAGAGAGAAACCAATAAAATAATAAGTGTTTATAATAATATTTAAAATTAACTTATGAATGATTTTGGATTATTATACACGGATAATGCTGGTAAATCATGTCGATAACTTTCCTAATGCATAGTTGTATGAAAAAAAATTAAGATTAAAAATTCTTTGTTTCTTACTCTAGTATCAAGATAATGTAAGCAACATCTATCCACGTAAATCAAAATGTGCGGATCCATCTGCTGAAATCTTATACTTCCCCAAGAATCGTGAGTTGTATTATTTTGCAGTATAGAACCACGGCTAATATAATTCCTAAAGAAGAAAAAAGGATATAGATATTGCGAAGAAGTGTTATGAAGAAAATAAAATAAAGAAATTTACTCACATACTATTTATGTCCCATAAGGACAATATTCTTTCTGCATTTAGTGTACAATGATGATCGACATTAGTTAAACTCAAATCAGCACTGACATATGGTATTTTTGATGCTTGCCTATGAATTTCACTAAGTGTTAAGTGATTTTCAGAATTAGAGAGCATATAAAGAGCGCATTGATTTTTATGCCTTCCCAAAATTTTACCTAAAATAAAATATAACATTTGTGTAATACATTTCATATTATTTCTAAGTATATTACAATTTTTTATTTTTTAGATATAAAATTATCAACATACATGTATTATTAATTTTACTTTGTCGAATTTCATACAACAATCCATGTAGTTTACATTTAACCGAGTTTTTTAATAATGGTTTCCATATGGAATCTTCCATCGATATGATATTTGCAGCAACTAAAAGTTTTTCAATGCAAAAAAGATTCAAATATATAATTGCATAAATTACTATATGTATATGTATGAATATGTTCTGTATAATTAAGATTAAGCAACCTAAATCTTCCATAAATGGGAATAGTAGAACATCCCAGCCATTTAGTTGAACATAGTTTAATGATCCACCAGTATAGTACCAATTGTAAGACTGAAAAGATATTTTATTAGTAATTCATATATATCGTACTTGATTTTTTTCTAAAGTGTTTTATTCCAAGTTGATCTTATTTAATAGTTAAAGTTTCCAATCAATCATTCTTCCAGATACTTTACACATTTTGTCAAATAAAAACGATAGCATTGAAAAATATATAGTTTGTTAATGATACCCCTTCAAAATAAGGGTCAGGATCCATGTCAATCAGTTCCGCTATATTTGCAATGTATCTAGGCACCTTTGCATTATATCCATTACTTCCTCTATTCCATTTTATGTTTTTTTTATATATTACACTCAACTCTAATAAAAATATTTTATTAAATCAATATCAAATGTAAAATGTAAAAGTTATTAAAATTTTTGCATACAACCTTTTTTATGCCTTTCGTACTGATTCATTATTCTGTTTATATCATCTTTCAAATGTCTCTTAAATGTGAGAAGTTGTAAAGCTGGATCTTCTTGAATGAGCGCTGTAAAGTTTGAAATGTTTATTTTTCTTTTTTTTCAATTATATTTCATAAAATCTAGCTATATTACAAAGATTATAAATATACTTACAAAGTATAATTTATATTATTATATGTCACTATATTATCCGACTGTATATCGAATTAAATTTAACTACATAACGTAGAATAAAATAATATATAATAGACCACATAATTACAGAAAGTACAGAAAACATACATAAACATAAAAATTATTCTAATGACATTCCATCTGACACAGTAAGCTTGCTTCATATTATAAACTTAATAAAATTAACAATATTTAACCTGTTCTTGGTAATCTTGCTGGTGGTAATAATGGCTTTGGTAAGTCACAGCTGTATGGAAATTCTTGGTAGAGTTCCATTACACTCTTCTCATCCCATTTCTCAATATATGGTAATTTATTCAAGTTATAACCTGGCATCACATGGTGAGGATAATTTTTCAAAAACACAGCACTCAATTTATTTAACAAATTTTTTTCAGCACGTTTGAATGCTTTTGATTTTAATTCTTGTTCACTCATGGTTCTCAATCTCTCTTAATTATTTTTACTTATTTACGATAAAATATGCGTAATCTTAGTCGTAACAATTAAAACTGTTCGAAACTGTCTTTTCTTTTTTCTTCATAGGTGTTTATAATCATCACATTACATTATAATAATTTTACAGGAAACATAAAATCAGTCAAAAATATATTGCAAAATATTTATCACAGTAGCGATAAATAAATTATAATGAAAGAAACATATAACAATTCGTAAATTGATAAAGAATCCAACAATAATACACGTGCATTATATACGTCGTGACATATGTGCCGATATCACGTGGGAATCGCGGAACATGCGGCACGCGGCATCGCAACATTACGCTATTACGCTTGTACATAATCATAGATTAAAGAATAACGGAGATATGTGCTCTCCAAAACTGGTGACACAAAACGTCCAACTCTTTTAAGAAATTCTCTAGGAAAATGAGAGGTTGATTGGCTGTCGTGTTACATTTCAAGATTTATTCGGACGCAAGTCTCAGGAATTCCTAAACTATGACTGAACCGAGAAGCATGCCGAGCAATTATATGTATGAATCAATTGGAATCAAATTCAAAAAGAAAGAAAAAAGGATCTTTATCTTACAAATCTTACAAGTATAAATGAAGAGTGCAATGATAATATGTAGAACTGCGCGAATCGGCGAGTTTGCGGCTGCATATCGCGTATGTTACAAGAGATATTACACTACGCAGGAGAATCAACATACGATGCAAAAGAAGACAATCCATCCATATTTCCAAATCCATCCGTGGAAGTCGGAAATCGAGTTTGCTAATAGTTTGTTGAAAAATGTTATTTACAATGCAGGTGGGAAATTATTATACATTTAAAGTTGATAGAGCCTGACATTGTTGTCTTGTTATCTTGTTATCTTGTAACAAGAAATTAGCTGTCATTTTTTATTATTATACAGTTTATCACTTTATGCTATGTTAGTTTTTAATTTTTGAAAAAAATAGCATTTGTTTTACATATTAATGATTTATTATATTAAAAATAATATCTATTGTTTCTTTATAGCTAATAAAAGTGATTTCTATGAAGACATTTCTATAATATTAATTCAGGTGTTTCTTTGCAGATGGAATAGTTGCGATAAACAAACCGTATGGTATATCTGTATGGAATAAATTCCAGCAAAATGTAAACCACCCTTTAAAACAATGTCATCATATAGTAGGAGCAGTAGATTATTCTGTAGAGAATGTTTTGCCATATCTTGCAAAGGAACTGGATGTACCAAACTTGATACCTTTCTCAGGATCAGAAAAGTATATTTGGTCTTTTTTTTTAACAATTTTTTCTTTTTCTTACAATGTACCTATAACTTTTAAAACACATATTGCTTTTCTTATTTATAGATATATGAGTGGCGTTTATATTTTTGGAATTAATACTAACGTATGCCAAGATATAAAAAAAGCAGTAAGACGAGTTGAAGGGGGTAAATATAGGAAATTCTGGGCAATCACGACCAGAATTCCGAACGAAATCGAAGGAAAGTATCATCTAGCAATTTGTTTAAAACAAAATTTTTCATTGAAAGATAAAAAGGTACATTTGTCTCTATATGTATACATGTATACATTGTGTGCAAAAATGATTAGTGTCTGTCTAATTAACAACTCTATATACATTTTAGGTTATTATCTTGCCGCAATGGTCCAAAAACTTAGTGAAGAAGAATATAATTAAAATCTTTAATGTAGACTATAGAGTTATATCTAATTCGACAAACAATTTGAGTTCCCTAATAGAAATGGAAGCATCTACAAAAGTGTGGCACAGTCTTAGATTGTTTGCTTCCATCATGTTGTATAGTCCGATTCTTGGAGATGATTATCATGGATCGCGAGTCCAAGAAGTCATGGGTACATGGGTAAGAATTGATCCGTTTGCTGAATCTTGTTGGGACATGCCAAAAATAAATAGGCAACTACTAGAATTGCTAAATGTAAGGCAAAATCAGCAAGAAATTATTCCAGTTCATATCCACTTGAGAAATGTACGTTTAATCTCTTTCGGTGAGAAGAGAAAGGATATAGTGTTGGAAGCACCTTTAATTCATCCTTTTGATTGGACGTGCAAACAACTTAAATTTAAGAATGTACCATATGAAGAGAATAATGAGGAGAATAAAGAGAAAATGGTGATGAAAGATCTAATATACAATTAACATGTGTAAATGTTAATCCTCAGTAAGGATTATAATTATAATAAAAAAAAAATTTTGATGATAAATAACATTTATTTTTTTAATTTTAATGTTCCTTTACATTTTGTTTGTTAGATAGATAGAACTGATAATTAATGACTAAGCACATGTTTGCCTTTTAAGATTCTCCTTTGGAGAATTCTTCTACCATTCAGCGTTGCCATTCTTGCAAACCAGCCATGTTTTTTGATACGTTTACGTTCATCAGGACGAGGAAAATGATATCTTACTATGTTTCTAACAAGCATTAAACCCCATGGATTCCATGTTACAGATGTTGCGTTTACTGTCGAGGTAAGCTGATTTGAGATTGCTGTTTGTCTAAAAACGTATTAAAAAAATTTCACATTATGATGTATTATGATTGTTGTATTATGTTGTTACACTTTATCGCTGAAAATACTCCATTGTTCCATTTTATGTTCATGTTGCACATATAATAATACAAATACCTTAAATTAGGATTATGTTAAATCAAACAAAATTAAATTAGAGATAAAATTTAATTCACTGAAAAATGATATTTAACAGGTATGATACTTTAACAAGTATTTAATTCCTTGTATTGAGAATTTATAACTAATGGTTGCATTATATAGAGTTACTATAAAATAGAACATATTGTCATAATTAAAAATAATATTTTAAAAACTTACGGTACGGATTTAAATATCTTAAAGATTAATTTATCGATCATGTTTCTTATATCGCAAACGTCACAAGATTCAGGGTATGGCAAAAATTGTTCGAATGTGTATTTCGAATGAGAAACACAAACTTGAGGTTAAGTTGACATTGAGGTTAATGGCCGGAGCACAGACTTTTGCATAAAGCATAACGCATAAGCATAAGGAAATTGATTGGTCCATTTCCTTATGCATTTGCTTAAGCCGAGAGCACAAGCTTTTACATAAAGCATAACGCATAAACATAAGGAAATTGATTGGTCTATATATAAGCATAAGCAAATGCATAAGGAAATGGACCAATCAATTTTTTATGCTTATGCGTTATGCTTTATGTAAAAGTCTGTGCTCCGGCCTTAACTCTGTGTAGTTGGTTTGTAAAAGTTGATCAAAGTGATCATGTGATCAATCTTTGCGGAAACCAGCGGAAACTATCGAATATTTCCGAAAATCGATAATACTGTGACGAATGAGTCGTGTAGAGCCAATTTCATAATGTATGTACACAATGATACGGAGATTCTCCATAAGAAGATGGCGGAAGATGGTGCACTCTAATAACTATGTAAATAGAAAGTTGTATCTCGTCGAGATACTGATTTTGTATACTACACGAGTTAAGGTATACCGTTTGTTGTAATATAAATTTAGTCAGGATAAAGTAATTATATATAGTATGTAACATACAAATTTTGCCGGCACAGAATACTGGTATAAACCTAACGGAATTTGCTAATAGAATATATCACGTAATTGACGGTAAACCCGCCGTCGAGCAGTTTTGTATTTCGTACATTTAAATGGAATATTTCATTTAAATAGCTACAAAATGACAAATTCTACTTGGTTTTGCTGTCGATCTGTTGTCAGATTATGTTAGCAAGTTCTACCGGTAAAACTTGAACTTAATGCAAACAGAGCTGACGGCAACCTGCTGAAATATCCGATTCAATTTATTGCCAAGTTGCCGGTGTATGCACTAATATTTTTCTTTCCTGTTATTATACACATAAGCGAGCGCTATTATTAACTTTTCTTTTAGTTATTATGAATTATTCAGAAATAATATTTGCATGAAATATTTTTTGCAAATTTAACAAATTCTTACTTCAATTCAAAAAGTAAGGTATATCTTTATGGCTATTGCAATATTTTAAATCGCTACCGAATGCAATTAAATTGTCATAAGTTTTTGGAATGAGTAAAATTTGAATAAATCGGCATTGTCTGTGATTGTCGTTTCAAGCATATAAAAATATTTAATGATTATCGAAGATTACTTGCGAGTGTTTGTCGAAACTGTTCGGCTGACTTCAATCGGTCTGTCGGAGAGAGGGCATGTTCATACTGATTGACTGACTCATTCTGGGCTTTATAATACCTTGGACGTGTCGAAGGGCGTAGTGATATTAGAAATACAGCTCTCAAGAATGCAACGCGACAATCATGCCCTCGACTATTCGACAATGATTCGAAAAGCTACAACACGTATCCAACACATTTTCGAGCACAAAAGCAAACGAGAAACATTGCTGCGAGATAAACAGGATTACATGTAAGTACTTAAAAAAATATTGTGTTGTGTTAAAATTATTATGTATTTCATACATATTGATGAAGGTTAAATAAGAGAAATCTTTATCTTTATCTTTATCCACATCTTGTTTAAGACAATTCTTTGGAAAGTGAAAAAACATAATTGCGTCTAAATTCTATATTATGAATAGAGTTTATAAGCAAAATTATAAAACTTTGTTGATCGATTAATCAATTTATTATTAAGAATACTTTTGTGTTGATTATATTTTAGAAGTTGAATAAGTTTGTGTATTATAATCACTATTTATAGTTACTTGAATTTAAAAAAAATAATATATACAACAGTTTATAAAATTTCTTCCATCAGTGCACACGTCTACGGCGTTTTCCACGTAATACTAATCTCAAAAAACAAACACAAAATACTGAAGAGAAATTTATTAGATCTTTAAGCCATTATCTTTTTTCAATTGTTATTTGGGATATTTTAAAAATTTTTAAATGGGAAAAGATCTAGGATGCTTTACGTTCTCACAAATCAAAGTCCGCTAAAGCAGCAACGATGAGTCTCAATCATGTGTTAAAATCACTCCCTCAGTTTCTGTGTTCGGTTATTCGTTTCACATTCAAAGAAATTCTTTCATCTAACGCGCCCCATGGTGTCGACCTATCCCCCCCCCCCCCAAATAGAATTGATCTCACCTTCGATAGTAAGCAAACTGTTGTGACCCCATTGGTACGTCATGTAGAACAGACAAATACATATATGTACATATATACATTCGTCGAGTATGCGTACATCCGTGACATCACCGTCTCGCGGTAATTGTCTGATCTTGAGGCCCTTGCCTCGATGTAATTTTGATGCTTGGGATACGCGTATATTGTATTGTTAGACTTTGCTAAAAACTTGAGATTTATATTACAATATTTATGTCGAATTATGTACAATATTTCTATTTCTATTATACTTTCTTATTGATGAATAATAATTTTATATGATATATAGATATTTTATTTGTAAGTATAAAAATATAGTACTTTTCAACATGTAATACATTTAGATTTATATAGGTAATACTAGAAAAATAATATTAATATAATCAAGCGATTATATTGAATCGTCATGTTAAATTATCAAAACAAGTATTAATTTAAATTTTTACATAAGTAATTCGGGACATCACTTTTTATTTATTTAACAATAAATTTTTGTTTCTCAACTATAAACAATTTTTATAAGTTGAACGTTTGTATCAGTATAAAGATATTGTCATGTGATTATTGAAAGTAATGTAATGATACTATCTGAATGCTATTCATAATCAACTTAATGAGAGAGTTAATGTGATACGATCAGGGTTTGGTTACGTAGGAAAATGGTGCATATGCTCGTTATTCTATAAAGGTGTACTTAAGCTCTGTTAGAATAAATCTATCTCGTGGATGGATAAATTTTTTATCTTTGTTCATGATGAAGTTACTATGACCTATTTACTACGTCATGTGGAACGGTCTTCAAACACGCGTACGCATCACCGAATGTATTATCTAGATCTCGATCAATTGTATAGCGTGTTCTGCAATTGTTGCTATTTAACATTTTTCACAGGCTCTCACGAATCTTTTTAATAGATAATTATGTTCAAATACTCTTTGACTCCGGATTGTATAAACTTTAAAGTTACACGTGAAAGTTTTTCTAATATCTATTTTCCCATTTAAGTATATTTACATGTAATGTAATTTAATCTTTAATATTTTTAAAAATAACATTTTTATAGTTTTAATAATTTTTTAGCATTTAACAATTGCCATAATTGTATTATTTTGTCTGGAGAAATTGAAGAACATTAATATAATCAGCGGAAATAATATTACATACACGTGTGTGTGCGCGCGCGCGCGTGCGCGCGTGTGTAATATACTATTGAAGTTATTCTAAATAGATTACAGCTATTACGGCTTACGTCAAAATTTTTTTATCTTGATTGAACAAGGATTATACATACATCTTTTAAAGTCTTCCTCAATTATTAAAAATTTATTTAATTGTAATTTATTCAGAATCAATTTCAATATTGCGTTATACAAAATAAAAGGATTACTCAGTACTATTATCAGTCCGTTTTTATTAAAATGCTAAAAATGTCTCTAACAATTTGTGAAAGCACTATATAGAGTACGTACCGAAACAATGAGATTTAAAAAATTTTTCTCTATTTTTAATTATATTAGCGTAGGTAGAAAATTTTGATAAAGAAACAGCTTATTAACGCGAAACAGGAAACGTGGTTAAGTCTTATCAATCTTTTACTGAAACGAACAATATGCAGTTTTTTCGCAACATTAAAGAGGACAAAATAACAAACGAGAAATTAAATAAGAATGCAAAATTAAATTTTATACATTATTCCAACAATGATTGATTTGTGTAAATCTAAAAATTTTGGATATTATAATTGATAATTAATAGTTAATTGCTTTTCTTAATTAGCGCTCTTTAAGCAATTATGTCACGCGCAAAACGGCTTGCAAACCAAAATCATTAGCAAAAAGATACGTCAATACAAAGAAACGTCCTCGTGCTCGATCGAGTACCCGGTATATTGTCAACTGTCAGTTGACAAGATACAGGATGCGCCTTTTCCGTTGCAAGAGTTCCAAACCGGCACTCCCATCCCATAGAATTGCGTTCAATCGTCCATTGGTTTAACACAAGCGTGTCGTGGCGCCGGTAGACTTATTATCGATCGACTTATATGCATGTATCTTTGGCACATTGTAAAACAAAGTTATCTATATTTTGATACGAAACATACTTAAGTTTAAAAATTTTAATACTTTGATTGCTCTGAATCAATTTAATTAATTTTGGCAAATAGCATATTCAATGGAGAAAGAATTTCACGTTTCGTCAGACTGATTGTGCGAAGCATTTCTTTTCCTCAAATGCGAATCGGTTGAACCTCGAAATAACCGTGATGGGGCTCTCAACCGTGACACACGCATCTCTCAGCGACGATTTACTTGTCAAATAATTCTTCCTGTGACCGCGGGGCTCGCGATTACCGCCGGAACATACGCAGTAACTTACATACATGCTTATGTTACATCGTCGATATTTTATTGCGCTTGCAGCCGGGCGATAAAAATGTACGGTACCGAAAATATTGCCACTATAGTTGCCAGTGCAATCAAGTCTAGACAAAAATTTTTTAATACAAAAGATGTAACGATATTTATACGACATTATGCATTTTATTGCATTTACACAATCTAGGAATAAACGAAAGATTGATCATTCTTAAAGAGTAATAGCGACTATAGAATATTATAGAATGTCCAGTTAACAAACAACGTTGTGAAACGGTCGATTTCCTTAGCTCTCTATTTTTCCACAAAATTTATGGACATTTCAATGCTGCGACTTATATACGCGATGCACCACGTCTGCTATCTCGGTACTCTAGACACAACATACCTCATCTCATTGTGTCAAGCATCGCATTGTCGTGAAAAATTCTTTATGCGATAGTGTACACTGTATGTCTTTAAACGTTCTAGGCACCTACACATCAGCTGAGCATGTTTCTTCGGGTTTGACTAGGCGGCCGCGAAGAATTCGCTGCGGACTTGTCTTTGGTCGCGACTCGCGAGGAATTACCAAGTCCTTTGGAGACACGTCGGAGAAATTCGGTTGCGGAAATCTGAATCTGAACGAACAGCTCACGTCGTAGGAATTGTCGTCTGTCTCGTCAGTGGGTAAGTTCTCAAATATGCTACGTCTGCATTTTGTTACAATGCCGAGTTCTATTTCATGAAAATTGACGAGTCGACAGACGACGAATGACAGGGATTAAATTTGTTCGTTTTATCGACACTTTCAATTCTTACTTTCTTTTCTTTTCTTTTCTTTTCTTTTTTTCAATGGATATGTATATAAAGAAGGTTTCTCCTTTGCGTGCGCGCGCGCGCGCGCGCGTGTGTGTGTGTGCGTGTGTGTGTGTGTGTGTGTGTGTGTGTGTGTGTGTAGGATGCCTATTATGCTTTTTATAATCCAAACGTTCTCAAGATATACGCGATTCATAAGATTAACACACTAACACTCATATAGTCGGCGTGAAACCTTAAGATTGTATAAAAAATTCGAAAAATATTTCTTCTCGAACCAAATGGTAAAGTGCTGTGACTTTTGAGTTTTCAACATTATCTTTTTATTAATAATTACTAAACAGTTTTATCAATCAGTAATTGCTCAGCGCAAATATTTTTTAATGGTATAGTCATTAAACGTGAAATTATTGATTACAATTAATTAAAGAGCAAAAATTATGTACAAATGATACTATTTAATCATAATTCGCATGAGCTTAGTATCGTCTTACTATTAGATGCACGCGGGAACCGTTATCGCGATTTCCTTTCAATCGCACTTTGATCCATTCATTCAAGTAGCTTCGTTCTACCTAAGCGTCAGAAGCGCAAGAAGGTTGCACGCATCTCTCAGTCATTCGTGGTTGTCGGCACAAGCGTGTGCATTCGATATTGCAATTATGGTGCCTTTGAGTTACGAAGAGCGTACGCGCTGCCAGTAATCTAATCATATAAATCGCGATCAAATCGAATTAATTAGCTTCGTCGATTAATTGAAGGCATCTATAGTTTGATCGACCGATCGCAGCGTCGGTGAGTTCAGAGACGCATTGACGATGAGAAGCGCGGCTGCTGAGACGCTGTTCGTCGCGTCGCGATCGATTGCAAGACGGTAGCATAATTCAGTCAATTCGTCACGTAAAAGCGGTTTGATGATCAGTAGTACCGTAGTAGTAAGATTATCGCTGCGGCTTTTAAGACCAAAAAGTCTTCGACTTACGATCTTTGCGTTATCATCAAATCGCGCGATACAAGATCGTTCAAGATCATTATGGGAGTCTATTTACACGTGCGTTATATCCAAGTCCCCGATTAATGTGCGTGCCAATGATTCAAATCTTCATAAATCTTTATTACAAATGTAACTGTAACGGTAAATTACAGCTTCGAAGCTTCAGTAAATTATATTTTCTTTTTATTTCGTCAGTCCTCGCTTTTCGTTTTTTCGACACCATGATCTAAAAACTCTCAGGGTACACGAAATCGATAAGTAATATTGATCTCCGACGAAACGATTCTCCTTCGAATCCGAAAGCCGGCATAATTGCATGCACGCAGCCGTTTCGTGTAACTCGATGCATCGCGTGGGCGATACGACCGCGATGTACCGGACCGATGCTTGAATCGGAGAGGAGAAAGATAGGAGGGCGGGAAAACGTATTTTCGATTTTCCAATAAATCTCATCTTGAGCTTATGCGCGCGTATAACCGCGCATTTCATTTGCTAAAGCAATTTTATAATAACGCTTGAAAACGATCATTGCCCGGGGATGGGCTCTTTCTCTCACTCTTGTGTATTGCCCCTACCAAGAGATAATGTGTATAAGTAGAGCGGCTTTAAGCCGGAGCATTACCGTTCAAGATGAAATAACAGTGATTACGCTACTCGGGCGGTATAAACTCTCGCGGCGCCTATCACGATCGAATAGCGAGAAGTAAAAGGCATTGTCGGACGCGGACATTGTACCTCCAAATATATTCGATTGCCGATTAAATTACCGATATAAAAATCACAATTTCATGTGTCTCGAATATGTATTTGTTTAAGGAAATGTCAGTCTAGTTGAGACGAACGAAGAAAATGATGAAATGAGACTGAAAATTGTCTTTCTTCATAAGTTTGTCATTTTTAACTTATATTTAGCAAGTTTTTAATGCACGAAAATAGAGGAAGGACGATATTTTAATGTTATAATTTGACCATTAATTTATTTGTTAATGGTCTACAAACATGTTTTCTTATTTTCTAAATTTCTAAATTTGTTTCGAATAGTGACAGTTTCCGTTATAGCGTGTACAAGTAGACTCTTATTTCAATTTTTGATCTTTGGTAATCGAGTTTTATCTCTTTTCGTTATCGTGTCTCGATCGGCCGAGAGCTTCAGTAACTCATTACACGACAGAATCTTGGTCGCATTTATGCATAAGTGGATAGTAGCTGACATCCACTAAAGGATATTGATTCCCGTACTTTAATACGTATGCATAAAGTACGAGGAAGCCGTCTGGCACGCAAATCTCAAATGAGCGTAATAAACATTACGCGTATCCAGTATGCCAGGTTAATACGAAACAATTTATCAAAATGGTATTTTTCCTATGGAAAACATAACTCGTCTGATAGACCTTATGAATTACAGGTAGAAACCTATTCGCTATTGCTAATCTCCTTATGTTTCACTTGCCGCGTGAATTCTAATAAATGTTCATTCATGTCTGTTCATTCAAAATAAATCATTTTCTATCTCGCTGTAGCTTATACGTAATATACCATGATACAACACATGATGCACACAAGTATACGTATCTGCATTAAATGTTGCAATTTTTACTATGGGAGTGACTTGCGGATTTTTTGCAATGTATCAATCATGTCATTAATATTAAAAGAAATTGCGAGTTTCTTTGAAAAATCTGAAAATAATTGATACTTCTAATACAAAAAAATTTTCATTTATTTGTCAAATCTTAACAATTTATATGCTACATTTAACCAATAAGAAACATATCTCATTCTGTTTAAGAAAATACACACTTTAGTCTCTTTATTCTACAAATTTTCATTATTTTATAACTAACTTTTGAAAGACTAGATATAGTAGCCTTTTATAGCCAATCAAGCGCAGATAAAACGCGGGTCGTAACGACGTCAATTTTTTTATCTGCATACATGGCGTGCTAATTTGTTAATGGGACATCCTGGTTCTGACACATATCGAGCGATTTTTTTAATCAGTTTTTAGCTGATTACGTGCTATTATTAGAAGAACCTTCGCAAGAATGATCGTCACTCGGGTCAGTGTACGACATTATCGGAGCGCGCTAAAAAATTTGCTATTGAGAGTGGATAGTTTGTATTTCGGCGAAACACGCGTCTCACCGCGTTTTCTTGAGATTTACGTATTATGAATTCACTTGATCATATTCAGCGGCAGAGAGCACAAATATGTGTTTAATGTGTAACAAATGCGCACTTGTTGAATGTATGTCGATGTCATTCGTGTGCAATTTAGCTCTTAAATGCGCTGATTGTTTGCGACAAAATAATTAAATTCATACAATGTAGCTGATAGAGAGAGAAACGCACAGTGGCATAGAATCGTAGAATATTAGACATATGCCAAAAAAAGATAAAAAATGGATAAATAGCTATTAGGTAATTGTTTACTTGTATCTTTTTCCCACAATTATATCGTTCACTACGAATTTTTCTTTTGATTAATCTTTCTTATATATTTATTATCAAGACATCAAAATCTTCACAATATTTTGAATCTAAAATAATCGGAATTGACACTTTACTGCTTTTTAATTTTTTATTTTATGTAGAGGCATACGTATGACACGCGTATTCTTACAAGCTTCTCGCTGCGTGCGTTTCACGAATCTGCAACATCTTGTTTCAAAGATAAACATCGTAACATATTGTTGAAAAAACGTATCGCCTACAAAACAAGAGAAATGGTACATAATGTAAACATTTTAAATGATAATCCGCAGATACGGCGATTCCGTGATTCATTTAGTTAGTCTTGTTTACATAAAACAGATTCAGTCAAATCTTTTTTATTTAAAGTTCTAACTTGTAGCTTGTAATCTTGATACTGTCAATATATGCATAACCATCTCTGCGTCATTGAGACTGCGTCTGTTCTACAGGATGTTGCAAATCTTGATTGTTTAAATTTATTGTTCAATCATTTTCACTTATGATGGGAAAAGAACTGCAACAATTCTAAAACAATTTGCAAGTTTAAACAAGTTAATTTTTAAATAAAACGTACGATACCTCTTTTACGAATTTACTATTCTATTAATTGTGCGTTAGCAATTTTACAACGCACAATTTATTAGTTATTAGTTATTGTAATAAACTTATAAACTCTAACAAGAGAGAGAGAGAGAGAGAGAGAGAGAGAGAGAGAGAGAGAGAGAGAGAGAGAGAGAGAGAGAGAGAGAGAGAGAGAGAGAGAGAGAGAGAGAGAGAGAGAGAGAGAGAGAGAGAGAGAGAGAGAGAGAGAGAGAGAGAGAGAGAATTAGATGATATTTAAATGTCTAGAATATGAATAATAATTATTGCAAATATGGAACGGAGTTGCAAAATTGATCAGAAGAATCGTGTATTAACTTTCGCGTGATTTTGTAACGTTCGATACAATGTACGCTAGTATAGTGCAGTTCCTGACGTGAAGAAAGTGAAGAGCAATGCTTCGCTACAAGGTCTCAGCCGGACCGATTGCACACAACAACTACTCATCTCAATTGGACGATTATGAGCTCATAAATTCATTTTGAGATCAAGTCGAATAAACACCACGAGAGTGTTCGCTGCAGCCTCTCCCCCTCTCTCCCTCCCACCCCCATTCCTGCATTGCGCCTTCATCCACGTTTTTACGTCTATAAATGCGAACTCGCGTGGACCCAGACTTTTACACATATACACATATCAGGCTAATGTTAAAATTTCAATATCGATTTATCGTCGCTCCCTGGCGCACCTTGTAAGCTCGCGATACAATTAACAAGCAACAATCGCCGCGTCGAATTTCCGGTCGTCCCTTTTTTCGTTCCCGTTGATCGACGAGGCGCATTCGATTTAACAATACGAG